AAAAGTCCTCGGAATAGGCTGGGGGGGGTGGGGGGCGGGGGGGGGGGGGGGGGGGGGGTCCCATGTCGCCCATTGGAATTTTAAAACGTCTCGTGTCGGTGTTTACAAATGCTTGTCGCGTATTGTCGGCTTTGCCGTCACTGTCGCAGTTTGGCCGAGGGAGGTTGTCTCTTGTCGCGATTTCATTTTACACGCTGTTGCTACTTTTTGGGCCACGTTGCTTGTCAGAATTTACCCTGGCAGGACCTCTCAGAAACGTCTGCCATTGTTTTGCATTTGACGAGTGCATCAATTGTACTGCAGGTGTGCATTTAGTTAGCAATTTATAGCAAAGCACATGCACACTCAGCAAAAACAGGAAAAACTGGTTTCAAACCGGACTGACTCATCCGTTTTGTGGATGAGCAGCAAATCAAAGAAAGTCGAGGCGGCTGGCAGAGGTCCCTTCCTCTTCCCAACTTATAAAGGAAGATTGAAGGGCCTCTTCTCGCAGGCTAGAAGATGAGTGTTTCAAGCTGTAAAATACATCCAGCTCCCATGGCTTCCTTTTACTGGGGATATTCACAAGAGTTGTTTGTGTTTTAGCCTCAAAAGTTCCATAAAAGAGTGTAATTACCACATCAACCAATCACCGCTCCTAGGCAGAGTTATGCTGTCAGTGTGGAATTTTTTGGGCCTAAATGGAGACGTCTCTTATGAAACGTCCCACTGATGGGGAGTGATCAAAGGTGGCTGTATTTATGGGCTAAGTTAAAGTTTTGGGATCTTTGTTAATAACTTTTGCATGTTTCACTGGTTATACTTCATTTACAGGTTACTTGCTACCCATTATAAACAAACTGCTTGTTGATAAGGAGCTGCTTTCCCGGCCACCGTATGCTGTTGTTTTGCTGCCAAGTATTGAGCTGTGTCACCAGGCAAGATACTTTCTTAAAACCTCCTTGCTGATTTTTTCTGGGTTGGTGGGGAAAAGACTCCATAATTTTTAGGGGTATTCTGGTTAAAACCATTGTATTTTGTCTAGTCAAGATTTTGAGAAATGACTCAATTAGTTTGGAGTCCATGGTTCAGTAATAATTTTTTAAAGAAATTTTGGATGATTTTTCAAATGCCTTTAATGTATACAAATTGGGGCGGGGGGGGGGGGGGGGT